TTCGGAAGGATCCTGGTGGTGCTGCCACCCCCGCCGCAGTGCCCTGAGCATCCTCCCGAGCCCCCCCAGCTGCCGCCGTGGGGTGAAGCCTCCAGTGAAGCAAAGCTGGAGGCTGTTGCTTTCCCTGCTTGGTTGTTTGGAGATTTCCAAATTTCCAACACGGATTCGAAGCTGATCCTTGGAGGAGTGCTGATGCTTTGGGGAGCGGATGGCCACGGGCATCCAGCGCAGGCAAAGTTTGGATGGGGCAGAGAAGGTTTTCTCTGGGCAATCTGGTTGTTGGGTTCAGAGCCCACTATCAAACACCTCTATAACAAATCTTTACAGGTACAAACGCGCCGTTTCTCAGTGCGAGGCGGCCGATGGGAAGGTCACCTCCGTGACAAGGTCTGCAGGAGAAAGCTGTTGGGTGCAAAGGAGACAGAAAGGAGGAGGGGAGCTCTCCCCGGCCCCCCTACCTGCATGTTTTTCCCTGCCTCCATGTGCTTACAGCCCTTGCGGGAAGGCCAGATCTGTTGGGGATGTACGGATCCACGTCCCCGGGGCCGAGCGATGCTCGAGCCGGGGCGCAGCGGCTGAAGCGGGGCCCTGCTCCGGTGCTATTCCTGGCTCCAGCAGTGACTCACTGCCTTACCCTGGGCAAAGCACTCCGGAATGTGTCTAGCAGTGCTTCCCCACCTTGGGGGCAGGCTGTTCATCCTTGCCTCTGCAAAATGCACCCAGATCGCTGGCGAAGAGGTGCAAAGAAGCATTAAGCCCAGCTGGTGATTCAGGGAGTGTCAGGGAATGAGCTGTGAGGTTCAGGTTAGAAATAAAGGAGGGGATGGTGAGAGATCCAGAAGATTATCGAAGTGTGGAAATGGCGAGTGGGATCCAATTATTCACCGTTTCTCGTCTCACAGGAGCTGGGGGGAGCCCAGTGCAATGGCCAGAAAGTGGATTTCGGGCAAACCAAAGGCAATACTTAGTCCTGCAGTGCTTGGTGAAACTGGAACTCAGCACTTCAGGACATCACGGGGACCAAGATGATGAACGGGTCCAAAATAGTCCATCTGTGGCTACTAAACACAGGCCCAGCTTGCTGCTTAGGGGATCTGCTGGATGCCGGTGGGATATGACCGAGGGATGGACCTTGGGGACCTTGCTCTCTTCTTCACCTCTCCTTGGTGCGTTAGATGGACCCATCAGACTTTGGCTGCTCGTATTTTCTTTGGCTGGCCCACATTTTAACTGGGATGTCAGGCTTTGGGACGTGTAGGTAATGGTTTTAAACTGAAGCAGGGTAGGTTTAGACTGGATCTAAGGAAGAAATTCTTTCCAGTGAGGGTGGTGAAACCCTGGCAGGGGTTGCCCAGAGAGGGGGTGGAGGCCCCATCCCTGGGAACATTCCAGGCCAGGTTGGCCGGGGCTGTGAGCAACCTGATGTGGTTCAAGGTGTCCCTGCTCCTGCAGGGGGTTGGGCTGGGTGACCTCTAGGGGTCCCTTCCAACCCAAACCATTCTATGATTCCATGATTCTATGATTCTATGATTCCAGTCTCTGAGCTGGAGTCCAGATCCTCGCTCTCGCCCACTGCCGTGCACATCCCTGGGACAAGGACTGCCGGGACAAGCAGCTCTCTGTTTCTGCTGGAGATGGAAGAAACTGTCCCACCTTTTCCTTTCAAATGACGCCAGCCTAACCTGCCATGGGAAGGTCCCCCGCTGCCGCCGCAGGGCAGAGGCAGCTCTCACAAACCTCTCTTCATCTTCAGAGATGATCCTAAAATAGCGGCGACATTTCAGTTCCCCAGACAAGATAAATAAACTGTCATTGTGCGGTTTATAGCCGCCTCGTCCGGCCTGGGAGAGCACTGAGGACCCTACAGGGGTGGCCGAATAGGGGCTGTCTAATGTGCCCTCTTCCTCTGGACGAATGCTTTTTTTCTTTTAAGCTTGTGATAAATAGAGACCCACTTCTATTAGAAAAACAGTCTAGAGTGATCCTCTTGGATGGCAGTTTCCACGGGAGGAGTGTGGCTGTGTTAGCTCTGACTGTGGCGGTGACACCACGCATGAGGTAATGGGAAAACGTGACCATGACTTAAGCCAAGCTCCAGGACCGGGTGCTGGCACAGCGTTTCCCTTCCCAGAAGGGGCACTTGGCTGGCGAAGAGGCGGGATAGCCTTCCTGGGGTGAAACGTGTCGTCATAAAAATACGGGGAGGAAATCCCTGCAGCGGCCAGGTCCCCCCCGCTGCACGCCGGCACCTCGGGGAGGTACCGGAGCTCAGGATCTGCCCCTGGTTTTTGGATCCCTTCTCTCTTTCACTCATCCCTGAGATGCTGCAGGAAGCTTTGCTTAAGGTCTTTTAAGAGCTGAAGAGGTTGTGGCAGCCCTGCGCGTGTCCGCCAGGCATCTCACAGCAAAGGTTCATCCAAACAGAAGGGCTTCGGGCTCCTGCTGTCTCCGTGCACCCTCTGTAGGGTGGGAGCATCCCTGGGGCAGCGAATGACGACCCCAAAGGAAGGAGCAGTTTTGCTCCAGTGATGCTGGGAGCCCGAAAGGCGTCTCTGAGCTTTCTGGCAGGGCCCAGGTTGCTCAGCCCCAAGCTCGCCCAGGACTGCAGCCCCCCAAGCATGCTGCAGCGCGCAGGCTGCCAGCCCGGGACTCCCCCAGTCACCTGCCATCTGGAACCGCCTGGCACAAGCCACCATCCCCGGGTGCTTGCCCGCCTCCGCCAGCCAGGGCGAGCGCTTGCTTGGCGAGCTCCTCGCTGGCTCCTGCTGATCCACCCAGATGTTTCCCCTGCAGAGCCGCGGGCCAGCTTGGTCCCAGGGGCCACCTTTCTCCTGACCATCCCACCATGCGGCATGCAGCCCATTGCAATGGCACACCAGCCTTCCTTTTCCTCCAGATGCCCAGTCTGTGCTCCCAGTTGGGGTTATAGCATGGAAACCAAGCCTTAATTCTTGGCTTTGTCCCCTGTTTCGCCCCTAACTTTCATCTCTGGAGCTCAGTCTGGGGTCTTCCCTGCAGTCTGGGGAGATTTTGACAGGGGGTTGGATGCTCCTGGGACTCCCAGCCCTGTTTAAGGGAGAAGCTGCTGTGGAAAGGAGGCAAAATGTCCTCGTCCTCCTGCCTTGCCTTGCCACGAGCCAGCACGGAGCTGGGGGAAGGTCTGGGGAGCACCTTCCCCACTGCAGCACGCAGGCCAGGCACGAGGAGACAGCCCCGGAGCCCCCGGCCAGGGCAGAGATGGGCAGCACTGATCTGAGGCTGGAATTCATTTTTCCAAAGGGCTGGGCTGAGTATTGGTTCATGGCAGTACTGCTTTGGCAGCCAAACTTGGGCCCGCATGCCCAAACCCGACAGATATTTGGGGAAAAGTGTAATTTCCATGTGTCTTCCCCAAGCCCCAAGTATTCGTGGCTCATGTATCTTCTGTGTTCGACCTGATGCCCTCTATTTAATAATCCTCAGTGATTTTTCCTACTGCCTGGTTCCTCTTTTGAACGCTTAGAATCCTCTGCGCTCTGAGATGAGCTAAGTTTTAGGTGAAGAA